AAGAAAAAAATGGAGGGAGAGTGGGACTTCAAACAGTGCCCTGGTTTCGATCGAGTGTATTCTTCTCTCAACTTCCGTATCTGCAACAGGGACACCTAGAGTCTTTTCCCTTCCTTCATGTCTTTAAAAATTTTAAAACCCAGCAGGGCCCTGGGGTGCCCCTGCGGGCCCCGCTGGTCACAGGGCCCACTTGACACCTCGCCACGTACCATGACCGCTGTGTCTTCCTGACATTTTCCCTTGATCCATTTAGTGCCTTCCCTGTTACCCCTGCGGGTCCTCCATTTTTGCCCCAATCTCTTGTGGGGAAAACTGTGTCAAAACGCCTTTTTGCAGTCCAAGAAAATCAATCCCCCACCCCTCTCTTTTGTTTTTACTGCTGTCACCATGTCATAGAACTCAGTAGGTTGTAACCAGGTTTTCCCCGCCCAAAACCATGTGGTGCTTTTGATGGATCATTCCTTTTAGGTGTTCCCCATCTTCCCCTGATAATCTTCCCCTGATTTTGCATACTATAATGTCAGTGACACTGGTCTGTAGTTTAGGCTTCATGTCTGTCCCCCTTTTTTAAAGATTGGGGACTACTTTTGCTGTTTCCAGCCTCAGGAAATCTCCCTGTTTCGATAGATGTATGAATTTTGTTGTTAGGGTCCCAAAAAGCGCCTCTGCCCCCTCTTCAATCCCCAGGGGGAGATGTTATCTGGCCCCTTTGCCTTTGAGGTATTAGCTCACTCAAACCCTCTTCACTTTTTCCTGGTTTGGGTGCACTGTGTCCGCACTTGGGGGTGTGCCCCACCTCTGTTTTTCTGGAGTCCCTTCTGTTCCCGGAACCTTCTTTGAATCTCTTGTTGAGTTCTTCACATATTCAGGGTATTTCTTTTGTCTCTCCCCCTTTCCCTTTCCCTTACCCTGATTACCTGGCCTTGACTTTTTTTTTCCTCCTATTGGGTAAAAACAGTTCGGGTCAGTTTTGGGCTTTCGTGCTATGTCATTTTCTATTGTTTTGGGCCTCCCTCTTTTTGTGCATATTCGTTTCTGGTTTACGACTGTTCCCTTATTTCCTGGGCTTTGCCTTCTTATTTTTTCCCATTCCCTAGCACACTTGGTTTTTGCCTCCCTGCACCTTTGGGTAAACCAGGGGCTCTCCTGGCTTTTTAAATTACTCCTGTTACCCTTGGGTACAAACCTCTCTCAGCCCTTGTTTTTTGCTACTTTTCCCCTCATTATTTAACCTGGCTTCCCCGCCAGTTCTCTGTTTCCCCTGAACCCCTTTGGGAGTTCCCCATTTCCCGTGTAGTCCCCTTTTTTGTAGTTTGGGTTCTTTGTCCGGCCCTTTCCCGCTTCTCCCTCCACTTGTAGCCTATGTGATTCGAACTTAAAACCCCATGGTCACTGGCCCAAGGGGTCTTTCATATGCGATGTCCCCGAATTTTTGCACTACGAAGGGGAAAAATAAGTCCCCGCCTGTGGGTTCATCCTCTCCTCTCTCTCTTTAGTGCCCTTACGTGTTTTGGACATGAAATTTCCCGTACCCCCCTCCACTCTTTGCCCTCCAGAATCTTGGCCCCCCTGTGGGGCCAAGTTTCCCAAAACGATCTCCCTTTTGGGTTAAAATCCCCCATGTCAGGAGCTTTGCCCCGCATGCATGAGCTTTCTGGCCATCTAGCCAGTGTGTCAACCCTCGTCTATTGCTCGTCGTACCTTCCTTGGCCTCCCGCGTTCTGTGGTGGGTTTTACTCATGCTATTACCCCCTTGGGGCCCCCAGAGTAATTTTCCCACTATGTAATCACTTTTTTCTCCGCATTCCCCCTCTCCACTCATCAAAATTCCAGCGATTTTGTCAGCAACGCCACTCCCCCACCCCCCCTTTCCACTCTGTCTTTCCATCAGATTTGTATCCGTTGAAAGATGGCCATCTGTTACATACCTTAAGCTTGGTTTCATAAGAGCTATGATGCCCGGTGATGCTTACTTTGACCCTTTCGGCACACTCCTCCCACTTATTGTTATTCCATCACCCGTTGTGAAACCATAACCTTCAGTTTCCTTTCCAACACTGTGATGGGGGCCTGTGGGGGTGGGAGACCTGGTGGACTGTGGATTCCATAGCTCGATGTGGGTGGAGGCTGTGGGTATGATTGTAGTGTGTGTTGGGATGGGTAAAAGGTTGTATGGTTCTGAGATAGTTGTGGTGTGCTTGCCCTTGCGTTCTGTCCTGCTCTGACGACCCTCACGATTCCCCCCTTTTCTCTTTTCCACTCCTTCGTTTTTTCGTCCTCTCCCCAGCTCCCTGTCGCTCGATTTTGTTCTGTCTCTGTCTAGGAACACCCTCTTGTACTCTTCCGATATTTCAATCGTGGTTTCTCTTGAGGATCCTGTTCCGCACTGTTTCCGTCCTGAGAACACTTGATTGGTCGGTTTCTCCCCTTCGAGTACCCCCCTATTCTCTGAAAATTACAATCTCGCCATCTCTTCACCATTTCCGTGATGATTTCTCAA